GCTGAAGCCCTGAAAATTACACAAACGTTTGATCTTTTGCGAGCAATATTCATTTCGTTCCTCTTCTAATATGCATTCGCTGCAGAGCGTGCTTCTCGCCTACCTCGTTCGTTTCCCTTTATTACTCTCTTACCACCTATTGTGTGCGTGAGAATGATATTTCATTCGTAGCAAATATTCCAGCGAAAGACTCTCGGATATGACATGGTAATCATTATCAACGATCGCATTACATTAAACGAGGAAATGTAGATTCCGCGAAATAGGATTGTCCTAACGGAGGTAACCTGTGGAATAATAATCACAATTTTGCTTGCATTGCGAAAGTTCAATGATCTGCTTCATCGGACCGATGCTTTTCGCAAATAGCGCGTCCTTATTGGCCACACATAACGATCCGTAAAGTAATTTTCCGCGCGTAATTACCCGTCGGTGCAAACTATATAAAGAGTCACCGTTTTTCTTCTTCCTCTCCTTCTCTCTTTCTCTTTTTCTCTCTCTTTCTCTTTCCCTCTTCTTTGAAGGAATTTCGTGTTCTACTCTCGCTATCATTTATTATCGCCGAGCTTTTGAAAGGATAGGAAGCCATAAATGGGGATGTAAGGGTCGTTACGTCGAGCAACCTGCAGCCCGTACGTAACGCGCCGGCATCCACTTTGTCATCTTTTAAAGTCTCCCGTTCTCTCCCGACTCGGTAACGGGTCACATACTTTAACGAGACCTCTTTTAACACATCATCCGTATTTGGAAGAGGAAGCGACACCGGTACAGAACACAAACAGAGAAAGAATCTTACTCTTTTCGTTCAAACGTTACACTGTACAAGTTAATCAGTACAATTTAACGTTTTCGTTCGTTAGTAACTTGCAAGCGCGTTACTTTCGTTAACGAAATTATCTACACTTCAGTCTCACTTTATACAAAGTTTAGTTAACACTGTTCACAAATTCCCGGACACTTTTCTAAAAAGAAAATAAAACATGTTCTTGTGTAATTTTTTTATTTAGTGACAATTTGATCTTTTTTAACTAAAATTAAAATAAAAAAAATATCTGTTAAATATCTGTTTAATATATTGCTTGGAAAACTTATATCTACAATTTTTTTTCATAAAAAAAATTTCTTTAAATAACAGGTGCGTTTGCGCAGATCATGTGACAGTTCTGGCAATATTTCCAAAGCGAATGGAAAGAAAATTTTGGGCATTCTGTCAATTAATTAACAGAATGCTCAAAATGTATATAAGAATGTAATAAAAACAGAAAGATTGTTTTATAAGAAAAAAATTGTACAGTTATTCCATATTTGGAAGAGGAAGAAATATTGTTCGACAATATATTATGTCCGTTTTAACTTTTATAATTATTCATTTTATACTCTTGAATACATTATGTCTTTACCCAGTTCCATGATTTGTGTGGTTTGCAGCTGCTCGGGACGAGTTTAATTTTTTCCAGTTCCAATTAGTTTTATTTATGTACGCTGCTATACTTGACACCTTTTTGAGTTTATTGATAGACATAACTCTTGTTTTCAGTCCGTGAAACTGGTTTAGACAACACATTTAACAACTCTTGTAACTTAAAGTATGTACCGTCTTGGCCCGAATTTCTACATTAAGCATGAAGTACATGATCTCTTATGTGTCTCTGTTTATTTTTTTCGTCTCTAATAATGGCTCACATTTTAGAGTCGGATGTTCAGATTTATAAGTTATAGTTATATAACTAATTGATTTACTATTAAATAATATATTTTCTAATTGAATTGCGCACTTTTTATCGCGCTCTCATAGTCTCTCTTTTTCTAATACTTTGTTTAAAAAATAAAAGAAATTATTAAATTTACAAAACAATATAAAAATTGTATTGTTTTCTAAACAATATATAACAGTCCATAACAGATATTTTTATTATTTTATAATTTAAAAAATTTAATTATTTTAGTAATGTTGCCAAAATAAAAAAACACATAAGAATGATTTTTAATCTTAAGAGTATTCGGTAATTTATGAACAATAAGTTGAAAAAATTCATTTATATGGATCATAATAATCTAAAGAGTGATTTATAGATGTAGATGCTGCTTAATTTCTTTTTTCTCCAGAAATAAATTTTTTTTAATGAAAATAGAAAACTGTTATATATATAAAAATTAGTTATAATTAACTAATATTTTTTAAATACTACCATTTGATTTTTACAATAATTGAATAACATTCAATTTTTATATAGATATTTCAATTTAATAATTTTATATTACGTTCTACAACATCGCGCCGTGCAAAAAGCGGAAAACTGAAATGAAAACGTTCACAAGAATTTATATCACAGTTTATTCAGAAATTTAAAGCTCGTTTTCTTCCCTAAAGGAATATGCGGAATCTTTTTAATTCTCATAAAATGAACAGTCTTATCGCGTGATAAAGTTTAATGTTATAGGTACTAGAGATCGGTTTCCCTTACGAGAAAATTCCCCAGGCGTTGCGTATCTAACCAATGTTGCCCTGCTCTTATAATTTGTGATAAAATACAAGTAAAACGAATACAGATACGTGTGTATTATTTGAACACGAAAAGAAAATTCAGGAGTTGTGAAAGCAACAATTGGGAATACCAGAGGATAAAAAGAAGAAGCTACACGCGCAGTCATAAACGTCGCCCCTTCGCTACATAGTGGTTATAGAGGAGCATCACGGGGTATATTCAGCACTCGCGAGAACAAGCTCTCGCGGGATCAGAATTTATCCGGATACTTCGTCGACGTCTAGTAGTTTAAAAAACGATTTGGTAAACGTTCGCGGTATCTCGGATATTCGCGTCATAAGGTATTTTCAACGATGTACTCGATCTGCGCTATGGAAAATAGAAAGGAAGGAAAATAGTAGGAATCGTTGCGAGTTTTATTTTTTTTTAATGAATAAACAACAAGATATGGCGAAGAGATGAGCGAAGAGAAATATATCGCAATATTCCATACGATCGTCAACAAGATTGACGAATTCAAAAATTCCATTGAAGTGTTTCACAGATAATACGAAAGAGCCTCCGCAAGCTCCATGCAAAAAATGCCCGTTTTCGGTACCTCGATTTTTGAAACTTTTATTATGCCAAATAGTTACATATGATGACCCAATAATCCCTGCAAAATTTCAAGAGGAGCATACAGCCCGTTTAGGAAATAGGGGGGTTAAAGTTGACCATGTCCAATAAAAAAATATAGCAATTCCACATTTGAATTCGAACAATAACGTCTAAAAAATTCAGCCTAAATGGATCTTTTAAGATTTTTGGCTGATGATTATAAATATGAAGTCATATTTACAAAATTCAAAATGGCGCATCCAATATGGCGGACAATTTTTGTTAAAATTCATTGGATCTACTTGAAACTTGTCACTCGGGGTTTTTTGGGGTCGCTGATTACGAATTTGAAGTCAATTTAAAAAAATTACAAATGGCGAATACAATACATCCAATAGAGGCAAGATGTAATAACCTAACCCCAAAAAACCCCGAGTAACAATTAGTTTCGAGTAGATCCAATGAATTTTAACAAAAATTGTCCGCCATATTGGATCCGCCATTTTAAATTTTGTAAATATGATTTCATATTTATAATCAGCAGCCAAAAATCTTAAAAGATCCATTTAGGCTGAATTTTTTAGACGTTCAAATTCAAATGTGGAATTGCTATATTTTTTTATTGGACACGGTCAACTTTAACCCCTCCCCCCTATTTCCTAAACGGGCTGTATGCTCGTCTTGAAATTTTGCAGGGATTATTGGGTCATCATATGTAACTATTTGGCATAATAAAAGTTTCAAAAATCGAGGTACCGAAAACGGACATTTTTTGCGGAGGCTCTTTCTTTTATGTTAATTTTCTTTTAGGTTGATTTTCTCTTCTAGGCTAAAACTCAAGTAGAACAAAAAAAGTCACTATAACAAATAAAAATGGTGTAAAAAATTTGTATCCTTAGTACACACGATTGGATCATCATTCATGTCATGCATACTTTTTTCTTTAAAATAGGCTAGGAGCATCTACCGATTAGAAATTATTAAGTTACACTGGAAAAAAATTTACTAAACTTTAATAAATATTTGTTTAATTAATATCAACTAAACATTTACTTACTATGAATAAATATTTACTCCATTAAAAAAATAATACTTAAATCAAATTAATGATTCTTGTACTAAATAATCTGTTTACATTTAATAAATATTTAGTTAGTATTATTCAAACAAATATTTGTTAAAATTAATATATTTTTTCAAATGCAACTGACCATTCCTTTTTTAATACAGAGAACTTTATAAATATTTTTTAAAGATGTTAAAATATATGTATCACCTAATAATTTGTATAAATAAAGTAATTGACATGAATAACCCATCGTGTTTAATAAAAATCCGAAAAATCATTGTGTGTACTGAGTATTAAAAGTCACTTTTCGATCACACTCACAATTATTTTAACACAATTTTGACGTTATCATAATCTGTTTTGCTTAGGAGTTCTCTTCGGGAATTTAATCCAAGAACAATATTTAACATTTTAATTCAAGTTCCAAGAACAATGTTTGACATTTTAGTTCGAGTTCCAAGAACGACGAGACCGATGACAAATTATCGGAAAGTCTACGGTTCGGTTGCGAAGAATCTACGATCGCGGCAGCGGATTTCATTAATCTCATTGAGAATACACCGGGAATCCACCGCAAGCACTGAGCCGACAGTATATACGTAAGCTTTCGAGCTTGCACGGCTGATGGCGCGATGCAGATCGAGTTCGATGGTTGGGAACGCGAGAGCGCGAAACGATTGCAGGAGGGAAAGGAGAGTCGGTTCGGGCAGAAGATCAAGAAAAGAAGGAGGAGGAATAGAGTATAGCGACGAAGTAGCTAAACCAGAAATAACTAATAAGACATTCACTCTGAGACGGGCGGCCAGCCGGCCCGGACGAACGCGGTGCGTCTGAGTAAACTTCGTCATCGGCAACCTCATCATCCACACCATATACGATAAACGTCACACTACTTAGAGCGAAACGGTGGAAAGTAAGGCCGGAAGAAGTAGAGGGAGGGTGAAAGAAACAAACGGAAAAGCAAGCGAGGGCGTATCGTGCTATATATATATAGTGCTGTAAAAAGAAAGTGTGTCGTCAGAGAAAAAGTTCCACGTGATATCGTCGATTAAGTGCAAATCGATTAAGTGCATCATCGAGATATCGCAATTTACGAAAATTGCCTCTAAAAGATCTCCATTCGTTCCGGTCTTCTTCCTTTTCTTATGGACCACGAGAGAGAGGGGGGAGGGAGGGAGAGAGAGAGAGAGAGATAGACATCGTCGTCGCTGCCGTCGCCGTCTAATTTTAAGTGTTAGATAATGCACACCCGGTGTGCACCGGTGTGTGCTCGGATACTAAAACGGTATCGTTGTGCACGCACGCGCGCGAACGCGCTAGATCTCGACGATGGTGATGGCACGCTGGACCGCTCGTACGGAATTGCATGCGCGTTTCTCTATGTCCACTCTGTTTCAAGCCGATCCTTCTCAATCTCTTTACGGCCTTTTCTGAAGTAAATAAGTTAACACGCGAGACTCTCTTCGGTCCCCGTAGCCCATTGAATCTGTCTCCGCTCGAATTTTTCGCCACGCTTCTTCCTGTCTTGCTGATTTCGCTTCTCGTCCGCTTGTCTTTGGTTCAACGTGTTCTTTCGTGTGATTTTTGCTTCTACCGCCTCCTATCCTTTCGCTCTTTTATACATTTATCTTCTTTAACCCGAACCCCCTGCCTTGAGACATCTTACTTTAGTTCTTTTTGCTATTCCCGATGCGAATTCTCTACGTGAATCTTTCACGATTTTTAGAATTCTGGTTTCATTAAAAGCGTTTTCATCGTTAGTTAGCACCTTGACTTCGCAGTTTCATTTCTGGTTGCTAATTTTGCAACCTGGTTGTAGCTTCTCATCAAAGTATTCGCTCTTTCTCATTCTATCTCTTTCTTGCTATTTCACAAAAGGACTCTTCATTTCGCCCTTTCTTTCACCAGGGATCTTACCGTTTTCACTTAAACATTTCATTCCATTTTGATTATTTCGCTTGAAATCCGTACTTTTTCGTTAACGACTTGTTACTATCTGCCTCCTTCTCCTCATTTTCATTATTATTATATTTTGCCTTATTTGCCTTCTTCTGATTTCTCTTTTAGCCTTACAAGTATCGTTCGCACAATATTTGCACTTATTGTTACACTGACTTTTTTGCTTTTTATTATAGCAGACTATCTTTTCATCCCTTAGTTTTCTTTATTCTTCTTTTCTTTTTCTTTTTTTTTTGTAATTTACGTTTCGTCCTATTTACGAATATATTCAGTTTACTTCATGAAGAAGGGAGCGAGGATTCTTATTAACTTGGCTTCTCCAACTCCCATTCTATATATCTCTCCGTTTCTTCTCCCATTTCTTCTTTAACTCATCTACTCTAACCGATTTCTACACATTTATAAATTTCCGGACACTCAGAATAAAGTTAAATATATTCTTGCATAATTTTTTATTTTAATTAAAAATCATTTTTTAACTGTAAAATAACAAAAATGTGTATATTACGATTTACTATGTTGCCTGGAAAACTTGAACTTATTTCATCAAAAAATCTCCTTGAGTAATAAATTAGGTTGTTTTCCAAATGTTTTCCAGAGATAGTCACTGGATTTTTATGCTACTAATAGCATTTAGAATGGAAAACGTTGAAAATATTTTTAATATCTATATTAAATTCCAGTTTATTTATAATACAAAATAAAATAATATATAAAATAACATTAGTTTTACGTATGGATTACCTTTATTTCAAAAAAGTAAAATCTATTCTCGGATTGAATACAAAATTTGAGATACATTATTAATAAATGAATGCAAACTGTATCATAATTCTGTGTAATAAGTATCTTCAAAGTGTCTAAAAAAAATGTTATTAAATATGCTTAAAAAATTAATTAATGGAATGCTCAAAATATGTAGGGCGATAATAAAAGCAAAAAGAGAATTTTTTATTTTAAAAAAATTGCAAGTTTTCAAAGCAATTCGTAACACAGATGTTTTTACCGTTTTATAATATTAAAAAGGATCGAATTATTATCGTTTTTTATGTTGTCAGAATGAAAAGAATTACGCAAAAGTGTATATTTTATTTTAAATCAAATAAATAACGAAGAGTCAAAGTACAGTCAAAGCTATATTTTAGTGCTTGTTAATATTATATGTAAATTTTAAATGTGTCTTATTTTATTTTTGAAAGTTGTTCGGAAATACTATTTCATATTTATTTAATTAAATCAGTCATTGACATTTTATGCGATAGCGATAAATATAATTTAAATACAATTTAAATTATAATACAATTGATATAATATATTCGTTTTTCTCTCTCCTTTTTCTCTTTTTCATTCTCCTCTGTCGTTACTATCTTTTCTATCTCCTCTTATCTCTCGCGCTTCTTCATTACGGTTCTCTGGGCTTTTTTGCACCTACATACTCAATCTGCATTCCCCTAATGCTGCTGTTTAAAGGCTCCCTATCTATCTCGCTCTGCATCTCTTGCTCGTATCATTTTCTCTTCAACTCATCCGTCCCTGTACCGATTTCGCTACCTCATTTCTGTTTCGCTTCCATGTCTTTCTTCATCTCTTTCTTGTCTCTCTCTCACTTTCTCGATCCATCCTTTCCCTTCCGCCACTTTGCTCTTCCGTCTCTCTGTTCTCCATCTCCGTCTGTCTCCGCGTGCTCTAATATGGCCACCCGGTGTCCAATTACTCGCCTCAGTTCTCGCTGCAGTTTTTCCGCCATCGTATATCTGCCGATGGCCGCGATGGAGAAAAGGTCCTCATCAACACCGGACGACATTCTATTTTTCGTTTTTTCTTTCACGATCGCCTATTCATCTTTATTCATCGACCAGTGATCGTGTCTCGCACCGTGATGGTGCTCTCATGTCTCTTGTTGCGAACGGCAATGTTCGATCTCTGATGTAAATTGGGAAACTATACAGCATCGCCGTAAAACGGAACGGAAAAGTGATTAAAATATTGTCGAACGTAGAGATTGATAGAAACGCAAGTCGTACGATACCGCGAGGGAATGCGTTGTCTGTCTCTTCTCCGTTTCTCGCTGACGAATCTAATTTGGCCGATAATCGACATGATTCCCCAAGCATACGATTCCGTTGGCTCGAGTCCAGAAAGCATCGAAGGAACGATCGCGACTCGTGAACCCGAGATATTTTGCTACTTTCTGTAGGAAGTGACTCTTGTAATAACGAAAGATTTATAAAGCTTAGACAGTTGTTTTACGGAGACTAAAATCTCGAAATTTTTTATTGATGAAGTCAATTTTGTGAATTTTATAAATGTGCTCTAATGATTTTCCGTCAAACGGTATAACATTAATTCGAAATTTGTTAGACAACCTATCATTAACATTTCATGCGATATCTAAATACAATTTAAATAAATACAGTTTAAATAAATATAATTAAAATAAAATCTAAATAAACACAATTTCGTGTCTGTTTAACTAATCTCTCGTTGACATTCCATGAAATAGCGATAAATACATTTTAAATTAATACAATTTAAATAAATATAATTTAAGTAAAATTTAAATAAATGCAATTTCATGCTTCGGTACTTTACAATCGCCAATATAAAAATCGTGAATTTTATGATTGCCTCCGTCTGAAAAATCGAGCGGCTGAATTGGGAGAGATAATTTGACAAACAATGTGATATGAATATTTCCGAACGAATGTCGCATCATTTCGCGGAATTCAACGAATGACGCCGTTTTTTATTACGAATTGCGAAAAGCTACGGCGCAAAAATACGGGTTGTGCGTTTATTTAAAAATTGGCTTCATAGCCAATCGCGCCGGACACAAAGCGGTACGCCGGCGTATGTGCGGGACCAGTGTGTCTGATTCAACGTTGACCGCTTTCACTGTGATATCCCCGCGCCGCACTCTGTTTATCGTCATTCGAGACCGAAATCACTTTTTTAATCGAATTGGTGAAAAAAAGTTTTACTACCGCTAGAATTATCACCGCAACGATGTAACATTGGGATACGAGCATGAAGCGGAATGTAAATTACGAGTATGTCTCTCTCTCTCTCGCGACATTTGCAGAGTCTCAACACCTCGGAGCGCCATTACGTTAATTAGAACCATCGTGCAACGTCGCCATTGCGTTGTATGTCCAGATTATTTTTTTCTCGCTTCGATGCTGGCAATGTTCGTCCACTAATCACGTAGAGTCCTATACGACAGTTGTCCTGTAACGCGGCCAAAATACGATTTACTTTTACCGGACGATGCGAACGCCAGCCGCGTCGTCGAATATCTACGTCGATCGCTTCCCTCGCATGACAGTGCGCTTAAATTTACACGACACACTCATACATCATATGTACATACATGACACTCGCGATGACGATTTACGTGGGCAAACGAAAATTCTCGATTTTCCAAAATTCTTCGCGCCGTCCTCGCACACAGTCATGTCACGTCGCGTCGCGTGTTGGAGCTGTAGTTTAACGACAGCGGATCTCTGGTTTTTAGCTGTTACAGCGCTGGATTTCGGTGACCAGAAATAACAACTTGGGGACCACTAGAGAGGGCCCCCAACCGAGGAAGACCGCCGAAAGGCGGTCACCAAATCAAGTAAGAGCTTCGATAACAAATGCGCGAATTGTGTGTGATTTTGTTTTTAAAAATTCACCATATTTCGAATACTTTATTCAACGGTATTAAAATTGGAGAGAAAATAATTCGAATTTTTTTTGTCAAAAATGTTAAAATAAAATGCTTAGTTTTAATTAAAATAATTACTATTTGAATCTACTACTTTCTGACGTCTTTCTAGCAAAAGTTAAATTCCGCAACAATAAAAGACCCCTGCTTTTTGACGACAAAGAAGTTATCGACCCAACTCTTTGGTTTCGGCTGCATTTCGGAAGCTTTCCGTTCAGGCCGTGCTGCATTGAACGAACTAAGTGATGATCCAATGTCTGAGTACTAAGGGTGCGAGAGAACTTTCTACTGCAAGTCCATCAGGGTTCCCACAGTGCATGAAGCGATATGAAGTCGAGCGTTGTCATGCTGCAAGATGATCTTCAATCGTTTTGAGCGATAGAACACGCCAAACACTGCACAAGTCTACAACCAACAATTGCACCATTTGGAAGTAGCATTGTTCGATAAACACCCGCAATATTGCTATGATTGGACTTTTATCTCCGCGACATCCAACTTTTGCCAGAAAAATGACAGAAAATAGTAGATTCGAACGATAATTACCTTAATTGAAGATAATATTTTAAGCATTTTATTTTAATAACAATTTTTACAAGAAAACTCGAATTACTTTATTCCCTATGTAATATTAACGTTGAATAATGATAGTATTTAATTCTGACAAGTTCATTATACTTGCTATTATTTTGGAGATGAGTACTTCATTACAACGTGATTGTTATACAGCACATACACTTATGCATTACAGCAACTGCAATAATGACTTATTCATTTATTACCGATTTAGCATATGATAAATTAGTAATCAAGTTTTCTCGGTGACCTATTAGCGCGAACTTTGAATAATGGTTCCAACTAATCCCTGATGTTGTAAAAATAATTACTGTAGTAACACGGGGGTATTAACGAGTTTTATAATGATCTTGTTAGTGAACTTTTAGTACGTGTCGGATAATCTCTCTGTCAAATCTACCTGCTCATTAAAAGTACCAAAATTTCGCGGGAGTAATAATCACATTATCATCCACTGATGTGAGTTGATAAGAAAAAGTCAGCGAACAAATGAATATGTACTAATCAATCTTCGTCGTACAGCGGCTTATGATCTCATTGCTGGAGGGTTGATTCCCGTAGGTCTTTTTTCCTCTTCGTTTCTACGTTTTGATCCACAGCTTTGTTTCAACCGAACTTTTATGTCGTAAAACTGACGTGGAATAATTATATTTATTGGAAGGATGATAGCACGTTTCGATTTGTTAAGTAAAAATCTGACACACTAACGGAACGATTAAAAGCCCCGGGAAAAAGCCCTTTGTCGGGGCTTACGTTAAAATATAATGAAACATCCCATTAAATTGCATTGCATTGCGTACATGAGAATTATGAAACCTTTACTGTTGTAAGGCAAAAATGAAATATTAATCACGAAATTGTGTACCGTAAATTACAAGGTAAATAAGTTAATTTGCTAATATTTTACAAAAAGTAAAATAAAGAATTATTTTATTATAAACGAAATATAAATTTGTCAAGATAATAAGATACATTTTCTCAACATCCTTTTGTAATAAACTTTTTGCGCCATGACGTTTCTATATGTCAAAAAAGAAAAAACTAAAACTAAATTAGAATAAAACATTTATTTATAAAAAATATTTGTATCTTTTATATATTTTTTTAAATATCTTTTATATAAATAAATTTTTTATTTCGATTCAATTTTTTAACTATCTTTTTTATCTGTAATATCTTTTTTGACATATAGGAACGTTATGGCATAAGAAAGTTTATTGCGATACGAAAGCATGTCGAAAAATTAGTCACGTCAATACTCTGCGTCTGTCCTATAAATGTTTCGCAGATAAAGCGTCCGAGACAGCTATAAGTTGGGTCGATATTTTACAAAAATGGGTACAAGGTATGATTTATCGGTTTTAGAGTAGCGCGGTATGTAACGCCTGATATCGCATTGTAGTTAGTTATCACAGACTGCGGTCGAGTTATCGTAAAAAGTCATTGGCAAAATCACAGAACTGCCAAGTGAAAAATGGGTCTTCATTTGTACAGGTGGATCTACATTTATGTTCATTTTCTCTGGTACGTACAAGAAATCCATTTTTCTTGTGATTTTGAGATCGAGAACCGTTCGCCACAAATGAGTCTCATTCTTCTTTGTCCGAAGTGAATTTATCAATCGTTTTTTGTATCGAACAGACGTTGTCACAATTTCGTGATTTTCGTATTACATATTGTTTTATTATACTTATCTGTATTCATTGAAAATTTTGGCCTTTATATTTATTTTACATGAATAAATGCATCATGCATTTTGTATAAATAAATTAGTAAAATAAACATATAAATTGACTTTAAAAACATAGAATAATTTTGATAACAATGTTAACAAAAATATAAAATAATAAAAATATAGAATAACTTAAAAAAGACACTCGTTGAAAATGAAAGACTATAACATTTTAAAATTTAACAATTTTTTATTATTAATTTGTATTACATAAATTGTTAACTTAATTATTCAAATTATATTAACATTGTAATAGAGGAAAGTCGTCAATACTGACATAGGTCTCCTAAAGCGACATCCCCTTATTTCTCAGAAACTAATTATTGCATTTTATTAATACTAATAAAATAATCTGTTTAGCTAATTGGAAAAGTAAAGACTCATATAATTCGTATATTTGTAGCTTTTTTCTATACCAAATCAGCTAAAAACGAATTCTACGAATGCGGAAATAAAATTCTTACGATTTGCTTTTGCAAATTGCGTAGTTTAAATAGCAGTGGCTGTATTATTGATAATATTACGTTATTTTAAATGCTTGTAGTTTCCTAAATCAGTTTTATTTGTATTATTTTTTCTCTTACTTTTTTCATAATACGATTTACTGTGTCAGTTTTGGAACTCATTTTGTCAAACGTTCATTTTTGCTAATTTTACGAAAAAATTAATTATTACCAAATTGCAAATAGTGTTATAAAAACTACTTATACTATCTGAGAGAAGACACTTTTTAGTTTATACTTATGTTTTTAAAGTTTTATTTTCTCCTTTTGTTTAAGAAATATTGTTTAAAAACAAAGTAATATGTCGGTATCGACGACTCTCCTCTATTTAATTTCAACGAAAGATGAAAGACTTTTCTCACTGTATTTGTGTGCACATATCCTTGTAACAGTTACATGACGTAAGTAACGAGCTTTAAATATGCTCTGTGTAAGGATTATAATAATACAACAGAAATAATATAGATGCGGAATTTATATAAATCCGATGATTCATTGATCCCACGCGGGATTATTCGGACGCGTTATTTACATTGCATGATGAATTCGTCTATAAAAGCGAATTCCATTCTGTCCCTAGGGTACCATTATAAAATATCCGCAATTAAAATTGTTCCTTGTTATCAAAGAAATTGAAAAATGTGATTATTTCGATATGTATGAATACATAACAATTTTCTACCTCAGAATTAATTAACAGGCCAGAAATATTTTGTATAATTTTATTTTATCCAAAATCAATGTATAACTAATACGACAAATAACTTCTCTTACAACACAAAGAATATTTCAAGCTGTTTACGTGTTAAAATGATGTCAACGTTTCGAAAAACTTCATTTTTCTGTTCGTTGCTTGGCTCGATCATTCGGATAATTGAATTCATTCAGAGAATATCACTAGACTTCCTTCAAGTTTTATACTTTATCATTTTCTGTGGAAATACTTCTTATTTTCTTTATGTCAAAAGTTATAGAGCATATTATAAAGTTTATAACATAGTTATTGGAATAAAAGCTTCAACGATGAATTTTAATAGGTTGTCTTTTTTTCTTTTACTGATCTTTTTGTATTATATATATTTAATGTTGAGTTTGTTTGATCGTAAATGATAAAGTTAAATGTATTGTTGTCGGCACTGAGGCAATGCTATGTCGAAGTATATATCGTTATATTTAGGGCATTACATTTACTGTGCACGTATACCGATGAATTTTGCTCGTTCGCGTCGCGCATCTTTTCGACCAAACAGCAAGCATTGTGTATTCGAGATGCACTTTCGGGATGTACGAAGACGATTGACCATGTAACAAGACGGTGAAATCAAGCAACGTTTAACTCGACCAGTCTTTCTGGAAATTAGATCACTTCACTACCAAACGACATGTGGATAAGCTGTAAGGGCGTTTCGTCCTTTTTTCTGCTCCTTTTCTTTTTTCCTCCCTTATTTTCTCTTTTCTAGTCTTGTCATTGTACGCGTTAGAACGTCGAAGATTCGTGTAGTAAAAATGGTAGAGAGTTGAAAGGGCGCATTGCGAACTAACGAGTTACAAAGTGTACCTAGAAACGTAGTAAATGTAGTACATTAAAGGACAGCAACTGTTTATATATATTCCAATCTCGTAAAAAATTTTCGATAATAAACACTGCATCATTAACGAGCGTAAATCCGAAAATGCAGAATTTTATCATTTATCGCGATAATTCATGCAAGAGATATTAATGACATTTTATTCGTCGAAATATACAACAATAAATCATAACGTTGACGTAAACAGCTGCAATGTTAAAACGTATTATATCATATTCTTCACAATATTGCAATATTACCGTTATGTATTATAATACAGGTAATATTACGTTGCAATATTACAATATCGCGCTCTGACCTTTTCCATCCGGTTCACGCATCCACGTGTATTACCGTTTAAGTGACCTGGAGCGTTTTGTGCGAAACGTTAGCGCGTTCAACGAAATTAGAAACGCCAGCCAGCGTTATAATTTTACAGTCTCGCCCTGCACAGTTGCACCATATCCGACCGGAGAATATAATTCTATGGTGCGAGCGTATGTAATGGTTAAGTATAAGTAGGTAACAGTA